GGGGGGGGGGGGGGGGGGGGGGCGTACCTCTGAAGGCTCGCCCGAGTGATGCTCGGCGTGATCCTCCGCTGTGATATCAGCCGCTTGCAGATACCTACGTGTAGAGGCGTACACACGTACAGGCGCATGCTCGCATTAATTGTGCGGCAGTCTTACGCTCGGCCCCAGTCGAGGCGAACCACATACACACCGTCGGCGCGCACCTGATGAGAACACACACACACACACACACACAGACACAGACACACGCACACGGAGAGAGAGAGTGGGGGCGAGATCTTGCACACGAGGATCCATGCGTGAGTACCGTTTCGACGACTCCCGCTCCGAAGGGCGTCTTGACCTTCTCCTTGGCCTTCTTGTGACCTGACGACGCAGACATACACATTGCCGAAAAGGTGTGCATGCGTGCATTTGTTCGTGCGTCTGTCTGGCTATGCGTGTGTGGCGTACGCTGGTCGTGCGCATGGCGGCTCATGCGGATGGCCTGCTGCTCCTGCACACGCCAGCGCACAACACACACACACACACACGTGTCGTGCATCCGTGAACGTATATCGGTTTGTCTGTCACTGTGTGTGCGAGCGCACCGAGTTGCTGCTGTAAAACGCCGCACGGGCAGCCTCGTTGATAAACCCTGCACACACACAACACACAAACACGCCTCTCACACACGCTGGCCTCCATGCACAGGCATCTCCTCTCACCCGATTTGTTGCCGATAGGCGTGTTTGACGTGGTGGCCGTGCTGCCCGAGACAGTGCGGCCGCCCCAGCTGAACGTCGCCCCCCCAGTCCCCTCTCCCTTTGCCAGATCCATCGGATGGCGATGGCTGGCGAAAATCAGCGGCAAAACTGTGCAAGAGAGGTCTGCCTCTACTTGCGGATTACACACAACTGCGGATTCAACAAAGTCAACACACCCAGAAAAAAGTCAAACTCCATTCACGACGAAAGATGCGAGCTTGAAACTTCGTCAAACACAACTTTTGCGAGCTGGAGTTCTTGCCACCCTTGTTTCATCCAGATCGTTTCCGCGTGCTGTGTGCCGTTTCCTAGTGCCCGTTGTCGGTTTCTAGCTAGTTGCGTGACCGCTTGACGACTCGTTGACGAGAGGATGCCGGGGAAAGGACCTGCTGAGAAGCGCCAGGCCGCCAAGAAGACGGCCGGCAAGACGCCCGCGGAGGCCGGCAAGAAGCGCCGCCGCAAGCGCACCGAGTCCTTCGCCCTCTACATATACAAGGTCCTCAAGCAGGTGCACCCCGAGACCGGCATTAGCAAGAAGAGCATGAGCATCATGAACTCATTCATCAACGACATCTTCGACCGCATGGCGGTAAGTGAGTGCGGTGGGATGGCAAAGGCAGCAGGGAGGGAGGGATGAGAGGGCGGAGAGGGCAGCCAGGGGTGGGGGAGCGGTGGGAGGGCAGGATGTCGTGTCTCTGCAAGTGTGGCTGCACCAGTGAGGCCGTCTGTGTTGTGTGCATGCCTGCACGTGATACCCATGACACCCCCGCACCCGTCAACACGACTCTCATGCCATGTCTCTCCCTCCCTGTGTGTTGTGTGTGTTGTGTGTTGTGTGTCAGACTGAGGCGACCAACTTGATCCGTTTCAACAAGAAGAAGACGCTGTCATCGCGCGAGGTGCAGACGAGCGTGCGGTTGATGCTCCCCGGCGAGCTGTCCAAGCACGCCGTTAGCGAGGGCACCAAGGCCGTCACCAAATACACGACCGCCGCTGGCAACTAACTGATACACACACACCCCCACCACACTCCTACACTCATACCGTTTGCATGCAAGGTGTGGTCGTGGTGTGGGGTGTGGGGTGTGTTTGGCGATGACGTATCTCTCGCGGCGGTGTTGGCTGCGGCGGGAGATGCCGAATCGCCCCTGTAGTCTAGACTAACCTATCACTGACTGACTGATACGAACGATCCGGTTACGATATGGATGCCTGTGCAGATGGATGGATGGATGGCTGTTACTTTTCGTTTGTTGCGCTGGATGGATGGCGGAGTGAGGTGTGGTGCGGTGTGTGGTGTGGTGGGGAGGGGCGTGTGTGGGTGATGGAGGGAGGGAGGGATGGGTGGGCGTGGTGGGTGGGCTGGCCGGAGGGTTCTGTTCGTTGGTTTATTCGGATAATAATGTCGCTAGCCTCTCTCTAGCCAGGTGATCTGACTCACTCCCCATATAACCCACGACCACACAGACAACACAACGCCCACACCTACACACACACACATACAGCCAGCCAGTCGATCATCGACGCTCTCTATATTCGATATAGTGAGTGCCTGGATGTTGCCTACCTGCCTGCCTGTCTGCCTGTGTTTGGATGCCGTCTGGTTGTGTACAGGACTGCTGCTGGTGAGTGGGGTCGACTTAAAGGGTGCCTGCCTGCCTGCCTGTGCGTTGCGTTGCATGGTGCGTGCAGTGCCGTGCCGTGTGTGTGGAGTGGACTGACTGGCCGACCGCCATTTGTTTCAAGCGCGTCAGGTGATGGATGGCCACGTTATAACGTGCACAGTCTGATTGATACCAAGACATCCACCTCAACACCCTCACGTAGTACACACTGTACTGTGAGTCCCATCACACACACACGCTCATACTCATACTCATAGGCGTCACCCAGTCATGCGCAATGTAGATAGGCACCACCACACGAAAAACGGCCGCCTCGCCGAACGAACCGAAAACACACGGAAAAACCAACCGCCAGCAACCCACACGCACTCTCACAGGCTCACAAACACGCAATTAGTTTCGCTCACTTGCCCGCCACACCCCCTCCCCTCCAAACGCCCACCCCCTCAGTCGGGCTCGCCATCCCCACCCCCACCACTCTGCCCATTGCTCGCATCGACGGCGCCAGACCTCCACCTTTCACCTTTCCCGGCCTGCCTCTGGTCGTCACAGCTCTCGACGGACGAGGAGCAAGACTCACCGCCCTCGCCGTGGCGCAAGACAGCACCTGGTGCGGTGTAAGGGCCAGGTGCGGGGCGGGAGGGGGACGATGGCGGGTGGTTGTGGGCGCCGGGCACCGTCTGGACGCCCGGCTGCTGCTGCTGGCTCTGCTGGTGGTCAGGGTCGCTCTCACTCTCGGCATCCGCATAAGCCTCCCCGTCGTCTTGGCCCACTCCCAGCCCGCTTGGCTGCGCTTCCACGCTGCATCCCTCCAGCCTGTCGTTGTGGGCAATTTCTCCATAGCTCCATTGTGGGCTGTCGGGTGCGCCGTTGTGTCCTCCCGCGGCTGGCTGATCTGCTGCCAGCGGGTCGGCCACGTCTGCCTGGTCGTCTGGAGGAAGGAGGAACCTTGGGTCTGGGTGAGAGGTGAGTTTGCCGGAGTGGGAGAGGAGCGACCTCAGGGCCGACTGTCGCACCATGTGCGTCAGCAGAGGGAACATCTGCAGCAAGTTCAGCTGAGGGAGAGAGAGAGAGAGGGGTTGTGTTGCGTGAGGCGTGTTGGTGGTTTGGTGTGTGGGCGTGCCTGTATGGCGTGTGCAGGATGTGGGAAGTAAGCGCCTCCCTCGCCGCTGATGGCCCTTGCGAGGCTCCACTCCGCGAACTGGCTAGCGGGCACCCGGAACCACGTGTGCGACGGCACACCGGGGTTGTACAACGGACCTACGCACACGACACGTGTGACACACATGACACACTCCGTACGTGGCACATGGCGAGAGTTCTTTGCAAAGGCTGGCGGACAATCCACCGCACCTGCGATAGCGCTTTGCACGGTGACGTTGTGTTGCTTTAGTTCCATCTGCAGGGCCTCGCACCAGGTGTCCATAAACGACTTGGACGCTGCACACACACACCACACACACAGACGCATTGCCTCCCTGCCTCCCACTCTCACTCTCACTCTCACTCTCACTCACCAGAGAGTTCCCGCAGGATGGGCATGGCCAGTCTGCCCGCGAAGCCCGACACGTGTATGACGACCCCTTTCCGCCGGCTCCGCACCATCTGCTCCACCACCTGACGCGTCAGCACCAGCATGGGCGTTATGTTGACACTCGACACCTCACACACAGCCGACAATGGGGTCTCCACCAGAGGGGCGGGCGGCCTGTACAGGTGGCTGCCCAGGCCGCCTGACCGACCAGACCAAATCAACCGTCGTGTGGGTGAGGGTCTGTCTGTCTGTCTGTCTGTCCATCTGTGTGTGTGTGCGGTCATCGTATACCGATGTTGTTGACGAGTATGGTGGGTCCGTGTCCGAGTGGTGGCTCTATGGCGTCGCGGAAGATATCGGGGCTGGGGAAGGTGCCATCGATGCCGTCCCTGCTCTCATACCTGCCCATTCGCACACACAGACACACACAGACACACACACATCCACGAGCCATCAACGCGCGAGAGATGGCGGCAGCCAGCCAGACAGGTGGGCACACGGGTGACGTGACCTACGTGTATTTGGTGACGAGTATGGAGGGGTATGTGTCTTGGAGCGATTCCGAGAGGGTGAGCAGCTTGTCGGACAAGGCGTTGGATATCAGAGCCAGGTTGTACCCCTTGGCCGCCAGGGCGTTCGCGTACGCCTCACCGATGTAGTCACTCACTCCTGCACCCAACACACAACGCGCAACACACAACACACCATCCATCTCTGTGTGTGTGTGTGTTCAGCCGTCTAGTCGGTCGCTCACCGGCCACTACAGCCCACTCGGTGCCGTGTGTGTGTCTGTGGTTGGAGTATTTGATTGCCGCCCGCAGCAGCCGCCAGAAGTAGCGGCAGGCCCGGGAGCCATGAATGACCACCACCGATATGCCCAGCACGGCCAGCGCATTGCGGGAGGATGACACCAGCCACCCACGGGAGCTCATCTCATCGCAGTGAAGGTCGGCAACACATACGCTCCTTCCAGGACAAGCAAAGACGATGGCAGCAGCGTCGGGCAAAGTGGCGGCTGTTTCGATCACCCACCGGGGGATGGGATCACCACAGCCTGCACACACGGTCACACGGGCAGAGCAGATGGATCACAGATAGATAGTAGTATTATGTGAATGTCAAGAGCAGCGAAAGAATGCATGACGTTTCGTCACCTCACCTGCCTGTCAAGGTGAGAAACTTCACAGGCTCCGCAGGTCGCTCATTCACTCCAATTTCACCTCCAATCGCTTTGCGGCTCGCACGCACAGATCTCCAACCCTCCTCTGAGAAGGCTGCATTCATCGCTCACCAACGGATCCCATCGCTCCGTTCACAGATCCATCCACTACTATGTCCGACTTCCCCCTCCTGCTGCTGCTGGTGGCCCTCCTCTCACCATTGCTGTCGGCAGTAGGGGCCTTCACACCATCAGTCCACCCCTCAGCGCTGCACAGGCACAGGCCGGCAACGCTGGCTTACGTCGACCAGCACACGCGGCACCGCTCATCGCTGAGGATGCAGCAGACATCGACAGAAACCGATGTGGCTGCGGCGGGGGAAGGGGTCAAGACGGCTGGCGCCAAGAGGGCAAGACTGATCATCGGCACACGAGGGTCACCTTTAGCTCTCGCACAGGCTCACGAGACGAAGCGGCGGTTGGGCGAGGCCTTCCCCGAGTTGGCCGAGGAGGGAGCCGTCGAGCTTAAGATCATCAAGACCACCGGTGGGTCAGACAGCCACAGCCACTTGCTGTGTGTGTGAGGGGTCTGTTATGGTGTGTTGTTTTGTGATGGAATGCCTGTAGGTGACGAGAGGCTGGACATCGCCTTAGCTGAGATCGGCGGCAAGGGTCTCTTCACCAAGGAACTCGATGTGGCGCTGCTCGCAAAGGTATCTGCACACACCTTTTTTGAAGGGTGGATGAGTGGCTGTGGTGTTGTGCGTTCTGTGGTTGTGCTGTCTGTGCAGGAGGTGGACATCTGTGTGCATTCGATGAAGGACGTCCCGACGTACCTGCCTGAGGGCACCGTGCTGGCGTGCAACCTCCCCAGGGAAGACACGCGGGACGTCTTCATCTCACGCAAAGCAAAAACCATCAGGCATGCCATGCACACCACAGTGACGCGACACACGTGACTTGGATCCACCCCACCACGCGATACGATGTGGCTTTGCTTTGTGTGTGCCCAGGGAGTTGCCTGACGGTTCGGTGGTGGGGTCCGCGTCGCTGCGGCGGCAGGCACAGATCCTCGCCATCAACCCAACGCTCAAAGTCGTCAACTTCAGGGGCAACGTACAAACAAGACTGAAGAAACTGGAGGTCAGTGGCAGGCAGCCGCGCAGACACAGACAGACAGGTGTGGTGTGGTATGGTACCAGTGCATTGGTCTGTCTTTCTCTCTGTGCTGTGTGTGCGTGTGTGTGGATGTGATGTTGGATGTAGGCCGGTGAGGTGGATGCGACCATGCTGGCGCTGGCCGGTCTGAAGCGGATGAGCATGGAGGGCGAAGCGACCAGCATTGTCGACAAAGACGACGTCCTCCCCGCCGTCGCACAGGGGGCCATCGGCATACAGGTAAGCACGTACAAGGGTGCATTGCATCCTAAGGGCCACACGTTGGCCACCAACGTCTGTCGCATGCATTCGTTCCCTCTCTCGTTAATTAAACACACAGTGTCGGAGTGACGACACACAGATCCTCGAGTGGATCGACGCGCTCAACTGCCCCGACACCAAGAGGTACGCCCACCCCGCTCACCGACCCATCCCATTAGGGCAACGCACATATTCGGCACATGCACACTCTCTCTCCCATTCTCTCTCTCTCATTGTCTGTCTGTCTGTCTGTCTGTCTGTCAGGTGTGTGGACTGCGAGCGTGCCTTCCTGGCGCAGCTGGACGGCAACTGCCGGACGCCCATAGCGGGGCAGGCGCGCGTGGAGCCCGACGGCCGGCTCAAGTTCAGGGGGCTGATCGCATCCCCCGACGGCAAGCGCATCATCAACGTCGACAAGGAGGGGCCGGCACAAGACGCCGTCAACATCGGCAAGCAGGTACGGTGGCACACACGGATGGACGAAGGGAGTCAGGGAGGGAGACCAGGTGCGAGTACATCACATCCATGTGTTGTGTTGGGTTGGGTATGGTATGCAGGCGGGTGAGGAGTTGCGTGCGACATGCGGCGAGGAGTTCCTGAAGGAGATCCAGGAGCAGGTCGGGCAGGCATTCCTCAAGACGCCTACCATAGGCAGCGGACCGACAGCATAGCCAGCCTGTGCTTTGCCAGTGTCCCCTCCCCACTCACTACTCACTCTTGTCTGTCTGCACCTCCCTACCCCTGCCCTCCCCTCCCTGTGTGCGCCTCCGAGTACGCAACAGTGTGCGCCGCTGGCTTGGGGTGCGTGGTGTGTCGATGTGTGTCTGTCTGTCTGTCTGTCTGTCTGTGTCACTGGTGTGAATACATTGACTCTCTCCATTCATCCATCCACCCGTCGGTCGTGTTGTCGCCCGCCTGGCGGACACGGCCCATTTATGAGAGAGAGAGGGAGGGAGGGAGGGTGCGGTGTGCCTGCTGGGGGGTGAGAGATGATTTTTGAAATATATCTTGGGATGCTGAAAGAGGGCGGGAGGCGTGTCAGGGCGTTTCAAGTTTTTTCATTCTTCAGCATGGCATGGCTGGCTCTCTGGTTGCTTTCTGCAAATGGCCCGCTGCTGCAAGTTGCACCCTCGCAGCGAACGTCCCCTGGCAGGGCTTCTCACAGCCGAAGCCCGCGGACGTTCTCTGCGGGGCTGCGACTGCGACAGACGGACCGAGTGGGTCACAATAAAGGGAAGACCGAGCTGGCCAGGTTTGTGCACATTGGGTGTGCCTGGGCCTCATGTGCTGTGTCCTGTGCGGTGGCGGGGATTACGTGAGGTGGCGTCGCTGATTCGGTCATTCTGTTGCGAGTGTGAGTGCTCCTGTGGACGCTCGCTGGTTGGGCTTTCGACGGCCGCAACCATCGAACGTTCGCCGGGGGCCTGCAGCTTTGCGGCAGACGGACAGTCTACCAGCCGGTGAGACGAGACGACGGAGAAGATCCAGATTGTGTGTGGTGGATGCATGTGTGCCGTGTGCTGTGGCAGAGATGGACAGTCACAGTGAGAGAGAGATTGAGATTTTTAGGCGGACATTTTTCCATTTTCGGTGCTGTGGATGGATGTCTCCCTCTGCCTGCCTGCCTGCCTGCCTACGTGTGTGTGTGTGGTGTAGATGCGTGCATGGCATGATGATTGACGCGCATTATTATCATGTGAAGTTTGAGCCTCGGCAGATGACTGACTGTCTGTCTGTCTGCTCTCACCAAAGAGAATATGTCCGTCCCATCTCTGCACCTCCCTCTGCACACACGTAGTTGAGTCAGCCATGCCACGCTACGCCACGCCGGAAAAACCCGCCGGAGGCATTGCGCAAGCAAACCAAAAACGCCCCTCTCCCTCTCACACTCTGTCGCCTCACCCACACGCATTCAGTATGCGCCACTCTCTCCGGGCAGCCAGACAAGACAGGACAGGACAGGAGAGCAACCAAACAAACAGCTAGTTCACGCTGCTTCCGCAGCATGAATGGCATGAAAATCGTGAGTGAGCTACGACCGTACGGCAACACATTCAACACCATGATGATCTGATCTGTACATGCCGCATTGCCAAACAATCCAATCCCTCCCTCTTCATGTCATCCCAAAATCGACAAACAAACGTGCCCCCGACCGACCAATATTGTCACTTGTCCTCGTGCAGCTCCATATGGTGCTCCACAGCTGACACGCGCAAACACACACAGAGGAGGGAGGGTGGCATCGCATCCCCGGATGTGTGTGTTGGTTTCATTCTAACTCCCAGGTTGCTCACCGAACAGCGCCGCGCACACAGCAGCTCCGCCTCCCTGCACCGCACCAATCAACCACACACACGATCTATCCGATACAGTCGTGCAGACGGCGAGAAGGGCCGCACATGACGCATCCATCGCTCACCATAGCAGCAACGGTGATGGGTGCGGACAGCCTGGGCCCCTGCAGAACGGCGCGGAATAGTGCCAGGGCGCCGCCACCCACGCCGCCCACACCACCGCCCAGACGCACACTCTCCCAGAACCGGGGATCTTTCGCCGACATTTCCCACCGCCTGACATGCACACAACATACGGACGGAATGGGAGCAGGCCGGCTGGGTGTGTGTGTGGGGGGGTGTGCTGTCCGTCACTTACGATGAGTCGAGCAGGAGTATGTGGCTCTGGTCACCTGCAAGCACGACACACACACAGGAAGGGGACGGACAGCGACACACAGACGGAGCGAGCGCCGAGTGTCGGGTGTCGGGTGCATCTCCAGGCAGCCGTGCACTCATATGAGTGTCCACATGAACCGAACGGACACAGCACAGCACAGCTCCCTTTTCATACACTCTGACTGACAGGCAGTGCCCTCCCTCTTCGCACGGCTTGTCGTGAAATCGCCACAAAACACCATGCATCATGATGGACAGCGACCTCACACGATCTGTGCGGCACTCTCCCTCCCTCCCTCCCTGCCTCCCCCCCTTTCCACCCAGCCCTCCCTCTCTCACACTGGCTTAGCACACTCACCGAATGCGAAGCCTCCATGATGTCCGGCATGGCATTCTGCAGGCCGCGTGGCGCCCACCAGAGGGCACCCGGTCGAGCGGCACGCCCACCGGCGAGAGGAGGGAGGAGGGACCTCGGCAAAGCTACTGCTCATCGCTGATGCTTGAGATGGGCTCGAGAGGCAACAGGCGAGAGGTTCAGCAGATCGAGGAAAGGTTGTACATCTCTGCTTATTTACCCTCTCCCTCTCGTGCGAGCTGAGCTCGCAGCGTCAATTCTGCCCCCAGTCTCCTCCCCGCCATTCTCAGCCGGGGAAAGAAAATACCGGTCTGGCTCCGTTCTCGTGCCTGAGGGTCTGGGCACTGGCGACCGCACGTATCACACAATCTCTTCGTCTGCCCTCCCTCTCCGCCGAGTGATGGGCGGCTGTTCGTCCAAGAATGCGCCTCACGCCCAGGACGCCCCCGGCCACCCAGAGGCCAAAATCCAGGCGGGCAGGCGGCGGCTGTCGGTCTCGCAGGCGAGCCCCGTGCCGCAGAAGGACGGTACGGTGATAGGCGGCAAGCCGGGAGGAGGGGAGGCTGACGAGGTGCGGGGGACGATAGGGCGGGCGGGGCTGACGGACGAGGATGACCTGGCGACGATGCTGCCCAAGGCCAACCGACGCTGCTCCGTATTTGGCGCGCCCGCACAGGAAATGCAGAGGGGATACGACGTACGTAAGTCAGTCAGAGCAGAAGAGAGGAGAGGATTCATATATTCATCAAGAAAAGGAGGGAGGAATGAATGCACCAATTGTGTGTGTGTGTTGGTGTGTACAGAACAAGCGTATGGAGGTGCAGGGTGAGATGAACGCCAAGACGCTGGTTGAGATGGGCGTGGGGTATGCCTGCAAGAAGGGACTAAAACCTGAGAGCCCCAACCAAGACGACTTCTTCATCCTCACGTACACACACACACACACACACAGATCACTCACCAGATGCTCACAGGCAGACAGCCACACAGCCCATGAATGCATTGCCGTCTGTCTACCTCTTCTGCCCTCAGAGTTGAGGATTGGAGCCTGTTTGGCGTGTTTGATGGCCACGGTGAGCAGTTGACATGCTCATGTCCTGATGCTTCTCCATCCTTGATCTCATGTGCTGTGTCTCTCCAGGTCCGTCTGGCCACGACGTGTCGAATTTCGTGCACAAGAACTTGCCGAAGCTGATTGTGTCTGACCCCAACTTCGAGACCGAACCCCTCACAGCCATCAAACAGGCCTTCCGCAAGGTGTGCACGCCCACACGCACGACCCACCCGAGCCACGGAGGCGCAGTGCGGTGTGTTGTGTTGTGTCTTGGATCTATCTAATGGTGTGTGTGGTGTGGTTGCGCAGGTCCACGACATGCTGCAGGTGGCTGCCAACTCCAACGATGGGTTCGACTGCGCCCTGTCAGGCACGACAGCCACCGTGGTCAGTCAGTCAGTCAGCTGCAGTGAGCCAGCTGCAGCAACACCGGTCTACCTGTCTGCAACTCGTGCACAGGAGCGCCTGCGTGCGTATGTCAGGTGCTCCATCGCAAGAACAAGTTGTTTGTGGGTCACGTGGGCGACTCGAGGGCCGTCCTTGCCGCCAAGGCGCAGGGAGGTCAGTCTGCCAGGCCGTACAACATCACCTCACGACTGAGTGCGATTGCCGGGCTTTGTGCGGACTGGACTGCAGGCAAGCGCCTGACGGCCATGAACCTGACGCAGGACCACAAGCCGACACGGGAAGACGAGAAAAAGAGAATCCAACAACATGGTCGGAGAAAGAAGGAGACACACACAAGAGACAGAGTCAGAGTCAGCGATTCTCTTGTACGCATACGTTTGCATGTTTGTGTGTCTGTGTGCAGGTGGTGAGGTGCGCCGCCTCGACGGCGACATTCCCCACCGTGTGTTTGTCAAGGGCAAAATGTACCCAGGTGGGCAAAAAATCAGCCAGCCACAAGACGGACTTCTCTGCTTGCGTCGCATGCCCACACAAGGCCTCTTTTTTTTTCTCTCATTGCCCGTGTTGGTGTTGTGCGTGCCAGGTTTGGCGATGTCTCGCGCCATTGGTGATGTGGTGGGGTCCTCAGTGGGCGTCGTGCCGGACCCTGATGTCAAGTACACAGCACACAGAGAGAGGAAACAAAGGGAAGCCATCGATGAATCACACCTACACGCCCGTGTGCTTGCCTCCCTCCTTTGTAGGGAGCTGACATTGGAGGAGGGGAGGGATCAGTTTTTCCTGTTGTGTTCGGATGGCGTGTGGGAGTTCATCTCGTCCCAGGAGGCGGTCGACATCATCTCCAAGCAGGGCCGGAAACAAGTCCAGGAAGCAACAGGTAGGTGTCTGTGCACATGGCATGGCTGGCATGCGATGAGATGAGATGAGATGAATGAAAGGCAATGCCTAGACGGGTCGCTACGGCGTGTGTTTTGCGTTCAGAGCATCTGACCTATGAGGCCTGGCGGCGCTGGGTCGCGGAAGAGGAGAATGTCGTCGACGGTCAGCACGCACAGTGTGTCGGTGTTGTGATCGACATGTCTCCTTCCTGTCTGCACCATCAGACATCACGGCCATTGTGCGCTGGATCACCCCACCAGCATAATGAAGACGCACATGTGGCCGGGCCCGGGAGGGGCAGGCATGCAGGGGGCCGGGACCTGGACGTGCCTGCCTTCCTGTGTCCGGCCAACCCTGTCCATGTGTGCGCTTGTCTCGTGTCTGCCCGTCGCCTGATCTGATCAACCAACAGACGATTGGACGATGCTGATGATGTTGGGGGTCTTGCCATGCCTCGGATGTCGCCGTCTCTGCTGTGAGTCTGTGGGCGTGAGTGAATGGGTGGATGGATAGCCGGATGAATTGGATGGTTGCTGGCTGCGTATGCCGTGGTGCGTATGTTTGCTGATTGGTTGAATTGAATTGGTACGAACTCTCTACTCTGTACGTGTGTCTCGATGGACCCAATCAATGGTGGCCCGTGGCCATGCTGTCTTTTCAAGTGCATTAACATTGCGGTTGAGTCTGCCTTCAATGCGAAATGCGTTGCGATGCGTGGGCGAGAATCGCGAAAGTTTAAACAAAGGAGACGCCGATCGCGAGACGGCTCGAAAATTTGTTACTTTCTTCGTTCTCCGGTCCAAGCGCTTTTTTGCCACCCTCAGAGTCCCTGCGCTCTTCTACGTCTTCGCCAAGCCCGTCGCCCTTTCCCTCCGTTCACCTACGTCACTTCCCGGCGCCCTGCCCTCCCCGAATCCGGTAAGCAGCCGCACTACACCATGAGAGGGCTGGGTGCAGATGTCTGTGTGTGTGCACAAGATGGCAGTCCGACCTGCGGAGCTTGCTGGATCAAGAACGCCACTGCGCCGACCGCCACACATGGACACCACACACAGACCGATGCAGGATGGATGTGTATGTCGTCATGTGTGTGTGTGATGTGTGTGTTTCCAAAGCTGTCCCAGCAGCTCGAGATGCGACGGTCCTACTACCAAAAGGCGGGAGCGACTTTGCGGTATTCCAAGAATCAGGCAAGTATGATACCCTACATGGCAATGTCCGGTGTAGCGGATGGATATCTGACCGACGGCTTTTTTTGGAGAAAGTACAAGCTGAACATTGTCGATACGACAGGTGGGTATGAAGGGGCTTGCAAGGCAGGTCTTGCCCTGATTCAGTGTTGCATCAGGTGGAGCGTGAGCGGCAGGCCTTCCGTGAGCGCGAGGAGGGGCTTCTCGAGGACCTGCAGCAGGTAAGGCGACTTCATGCACCCCTTTGGGCTGTCTGTGTGCACTCGTCCGCCAGCTCCGCGGGGTGCCGGTGTGAGCAGACCCAACAGCTCAGGTATGACCGAACTAACCTTGTAATCTGTTTCTTTGCTTTTGCTATGCAGGTAGTCGCTCAAGAACACACGGATCGATGGGGGAGGCATCTCCTGTCATGCCAGAGGTATGTGTGTGTATATATGGGTTATGAGCATTGGTGTAGTTGTGTTCGGTGTCAGGAGCAGCAAGGAACTCGACATCAGGCTCGAGCTGGCCGGAGAAATGGCTCACCAGCCAAGACCCTCGACGACTACTTACTGCACTGCGTCCTTCCCGGTGACCGGAATTCCGCGCGCTGTGTGTGTATGTGTGACCATCTTCATGTCAATGGTGTGTGTGTGTGTGTGTGTGTGTGTGTATTCTAGATCATCTGGCCGGAGAAGTGGCCGAGCTCCGTGGTGAGGTGCAGTGCATCGCGGCCCTGGAGCAGCAGATAATGGCAATGTAGCCAGCAACGCAGGTACGCCTCCAAATACACACGTGGACAACCACATTCGCAGCACCCTCTTCGTCTGTGAGCGTGCGTGTTGTGCGTGTGTGCGTTGGGTGCAGTACTGGGCTCAACTTCAGACGGCACAGCAGATGTGGCTGACACAGCAGCAACAACTGGTGAGTGAGTGAGGCACCCATATCACTGAATGACTCACAGGCAGCAGGGCAGAAACGGATGGCCCCACACACGCACCCGACGCCAGCGGGCCGAACGACACTGAGTCATCGCCACCTTTTGCGATTGCAGATTGCTGCTGTGTCTTTTCTTGACTGAAGTCTGCTTTGCTGCTTGCGCTTGGTGTGTTGTGCTGACGAAGCGGCACAAGGCGGGCAGCAGCCGTGGCAAGAAGTGCAAGGACACCGACGACGCCTCCTTGTCGTCGGAGAAGCCGCCCCCGAGGGCCCGCAAGGCCCCCACCACCCGCAAGGCTCCCACCAAGGCAACCAAGTCGAGGCCTAAGGCGAAGGCTAAGCCCAAGGGAAAGGCCAAGGGAAAGGCCAAGGGGAAGGCACGTGCTCCCCGAGCTGCTCCTGCTGCTGCTGCCGCCGCTGCTGCTGCTGCCCCGCCACCACCGGCTGCCGCCATCGGTAAGTAAAATGTTCAGAAAGAAGAGAGTGAGTTGGGTCATGGTAAATGGATGGATGCTTTTGTGTCTGCCACTGGTGTCATTCCCTCGGTCCAGACCTGGAAGCCATGACGATGGAGCAGCTGCGGGCGTTGATCAGGAAGCACGACGCCCTCACGCACGTAAAGACAGGCGGGGCGGGGAGGACAAAGGAGAACGTGAGGAAGGACATTAAAGATGCATGGGGGCGGGGGTAGTGGTCTGTGGGGGGAGCTCGCCAAGGTGAGGCCGCACAGACACAGAACACAGACAGACACAGATCAGTCCCCCACCCAAACCACACCACACCACACCGCACCCGAGTGCATCCGTGTCGAATGATGGATGGATGTGTTGCTGGTCGTGTTCCGCGTCAGGTCAAGGAGACCAACGAATCCCTCGTCGCCGACAACAGGACGGTGCGCGAGCAAGCAGAGCAGGTCGGCAGGCACAACAGACACTCACCGATGGATCGATGGCTGGATGGACGAGTGCCCGCTTACGAGGATCTCTCTCTCTCTCTGTGTGTGTGTGTGTCTTTCTGTGTGTGTGTGTGTGGACCTGCAGTTGAAAGGAGAGCTAGTGGAGGTGCATACTACGCTCGAGGAGAGCGAGAAGGTCAGTGGGTGTTGGGCGGCAAGGAAAACGACCACCAGCACACACATACACACACACCTCCTATACATAGACATAGACACCCGCACATGAAATCAAGCTGGTCAACTCATTCTCCAAGAAAGACAGTGTCTGAGGTGTGTGTGCGTGGGGTGTCTCTTGTATTGTATGTGTGCAGCGCGTCAGTGGGGATCTGTCCAGTCTGGAGCAAGCCTTGGCCGCCGAACGCCGCCGACCTCTCAGGTACATATGTGGGCAAAGAAAGGACCACACCCTTTGCAGGCAGGCAGGCAGGCAGGCAGGGAGGGACAGGAGGGGGACAGGGAGGGGACACACATAGAGAGAGAGAGAGATAAATGAATGTGTGTGTGTGTGTGTGTGTGTGTGCAGTTGGACCTGTCGGTCATTGCCTATCGTGACGAGCTCGCCAAGGTGAGTGAGGCCGCACGCAAGACACACACACACACAATTTCACACACACACACAGAGAGAGAGAGAGATCAGTCCCCCACCCAAACCACACCCCACCACACCGCACCCGAGTGCATCCGTGTGGACGGATGGATTGATGGATCGATGGATGGATGGATGTGTTGCTGGTCGTGTTCCGCGTCAGGTCAAGGAGACCAACGAATCCCTCGTCGCCGACAACAGGACCGTGCGTGAAGAAGTAGAGCTGGTCGGCAGGCACACCACACACTGACCGATGGATGGAAGAGTGTGTGTGTGTGTGTGTGTTTCCACAGCTTTCCCAGCAGCTGGAGATGCGACGCTCTTTCTACCAGCAGGTGGGCATGAAGAACATTGCAAGGCAGGCAGGCAGGATAATTGATGGCCATCTTGCCTTGATTCCGTTTTGCATCAGTTGGAACAAGAGCGACAGGCCATGCGCGAGCGACAGGAGGCAATCGAGGAGCATCAGCCGCCGGTAAGGTCGTCATGCACCCCTCCAGGCTGTCTGTGTGTATCTTCGGTTTCTCTATTCCATCTCTGTCTGCCTGCCTATCTGTCTCTTTCTGTCTGTCTGCCTGCCTGCCTGCCTCTGTGTGAGGGTGTGCGAGCAGGCCAGGCGGCAATTCACAGGGTCAGCCAGCCTCCATCTACACACCCACTCGTCTGTCCGTCATCCGTGGCAGCATCGTTGTCCGTCTGTTTGTGTGTTTGTTGCCTCTGCTGCAGGCGCACTACTGACTTTGCGGCTGAGCGGGCATTCTACGACCAGCAGCGAGTGATGTCAAAGCGGTGAGCATCTATCTATCTGTGATAGGCATCCATCCATCATCCCATCTTTCCATTCAATGACGTGCGTGTCCCTTTTGCCTTTGCGTGCGTGCATCTGTCTGTCTGTGTCTACGATTGTTGTCGCCTTGTGTGTACTCGTGTGTCAACAACAGCAACGCGGTGCCATGCCACGGCGGCCGCGGCGGCTTCCGCGAGACAAGGTTTCGCGGCAGCTAGAGAGAGAGGGGGG